TTTTTAACGTCAACTCGACGCACTTATTGACAGCTGCGTCAGCCTGCGTCCCAAGCCCAAACCCAAAGCCACGCCGCCACCTTGATGCATATGTCATGCGATACAGAAATTTATTTGCCCGAAACGCCACAGGACACCCCAGCGGATCGAAGGCATAAAAAATGTTTAATTTAATTTTTGTCGCACCAAAGAATACAAAAAGCGGGGACTTCGCCTTAACTTTTTACCTAACATATATATATTTTTGCATATATTTCGTCATGGCAACCGCTGTGCAAACATAAAACGCTTAAAAAATGCTTATAGGCAAATATTTACGGCTATCCGTTTTTTCCTTTTTGGAGATTTCGAGGACTGCCTGCAAAAATTCAACCCGCTGAACCTGGTGCTAATCGACACACGTCAAGTTATGATTGAGTTTTAACATCGGTTGGATGGCAACCTAACGAAGTAATTGATAATCATCCAACGATGGGAGCAGTCGACAGATGAAAATCATTAAATCACAACAAAGCAAATACAATTAATAAACGCAGTTAAAACATGCAGAAATTAATTATTGGTGATATTTAGAACTATCGAAAGCATTTACCAACTATCATTTCATTTTATTTATAAACTCTTAAAGCTGTATAAAATAAGGTTTGCAATTAAAAATCATAATAGCTACTAACAACAAAAATTTTACTATAAATGCTGTTTAATTTAATAATTTATTCATTTTATGCGAGGTGCAGAGTGTTATGTATAATTGGCGAATTAAATATCCAATTATTGAAAAATAAATATATATAAATATGTTTTCTGATAATTTATGATATTACTAATTTTTAGCAAAGTTTTTTATGATGCAATTTCAAACGACTTGATGTTAAATAGTTTAAAGCTTAGGCCATATTTATATTCAATTTTAACCAACTCAGGCCCACTTTGGCCAACACTTCGTGCCACTGATTGTGAGTTACAACCAGGCACTCGTAGGGATATCCCCGCATACAAACTGAAGGAACCAGAGAGCGATGCATGCAAATTGGACATTGCTCTGATGAGCAATGTCCTTTGCTGGCGTTGGACTTTCTGCATTCCTGCCTTTCGGTCGGTGCGGTGCACTGGCTTGTTTAATTGCAACTAAAAGCGGAAGCCAACAACAGAGCAGAGTGCAAAATAGTAAAAGGAAAAACTCAAATATAACGCTGACTGCTCCCCTGAACTGTGTCAAAACAAGGGCCAACAGCTGCGAGAAAAAAAGCATAGAACCGAAGCGAAACTAAAGATTCACACACGAGTTTGTTGTTTAGTTCTGCTTTTTTGTTTGTTTGTCGCCCTGTTTGTTCGCTGCCCGTCGCTTCCTGCAATTTGCATGCTGCCAAAGTTTCCTCTTTAGTCTGCGATAGCATAGGTGTCAAATAAAGGTTTTTAAAATGATTTATTAAACAAAAACTATTGAATTAATTGCCCTTATAGGCAATAAGGAATTTACTTGAACTTTCAGGAGGAGTCCTCATTGTGTGAAATATTGTATTTTAAAGTTTGTCAGATATGATAGACTCTGGAACGTAAGGACTCGATCATCGGCGGCTTAGCACTTTTTTTCATGAAGACGGACACCATCCTTATCCCATCCACCTGGTTCTGGTGATCTGAGTGGGCGTAAGTGGATGGCCAGGTGAGATGGGGAAGGTTGGGTGCTCGGAGCAAACAGAAACCGTGTCGGCTTTCCTTTCTGACACACCATTTTGCATGTTGCATGAGCTGTCTCTCCCGCTCGCCTTCTCCCCTTTCTCCCATTTGCTCCCCTTTGCTCCCCTTTCTCCAGCTCTCTTCACCTGTGCCTGGCGCATATGTCACTTGTCTAAATAGCAGCGACAACGTTCACCTGAACTGGCCAAACGATGGATGGGGCCAGGCGGGCTAAGGAGGTGCGAGGGGCAGGTGAAATTTGCTGCCGACTGGCCATGCATGCAAATGCAACATTTGCAACTGTTTGAGTCGCTGCTTTCTCGTTCTATACCCTAAAAAAGGTACGTCTCTCAATTCTTATCATATTATTTTTAAAAAAATTTGAAAATGTAGACTCAAAAAAAAATAATAATCATGGCTCTAGGTGCGAGCTGTCAATAATTTTAAATTATTAAACTAGCATAACTTTTACTAATATACTGTTCTTTACAAATTCACAACAAATTTCATATATGCTTATTACTATATTTACTACCATATAAGTTTTGCATGTCGAATTTCAAAAGGACTTATTTTCTTGCAAAGGCCGTTCAAGTTTCGGTGTTCGCTAGTTCCATATTTTTGAACCTGTGTTTTTCTTGCTTTCGCAGTTGCTTTTGCCAACAAGGTGGCAACACTGACACCAAGCAGTGACGCCAACAACCCTGTTGCAACAGCAACAAACATGCGGCAAGACTACACCAACAACCGGCAGTAATTTGGACACCTTGTCTATGTGTGTTTGTTTAGGCTGGCGAGGGAAAGTGGGGAAAGGCGATGGGGAATGGTTAAGAGCGGACGTAAAGGACCAAAAGAACCACCTAGAGGAAAAGGCTAAAAGTGGTAAAAGCAAACGGTAAATAAAAGAATTTAACCTCAAGCTGAAATGGATGTTAAAATCTGCAATAAATTTAGAAAAAAATATTTATGATCATATCCTACACTTATTTTATTCATTATTTTTTCAAAATGCAACAACGTTCCGTTCCAACATCTTTTTAAAAGACTAGTTCACAAAGAATTTTATTAACTTAACCGAGGAATCAAATGGAAACCCTTTTAGACGAATTAAATCGAGTTTGTCAACGATTTAAGGCATATCAATTAAGGCGGCACAAAAGACGTCAGACCGTAATGACGGCCTTTGTTTTCATCAATTTCCCCTGGCCAGTCATTCGTTCATTCAGTCACTCAGTTGGGAACTGGAACTGCCCTTTGGCCTCTGCCCTCTTCTGACTGTCTTCTGTCCTTTCAAATGTATATCTGCCACTGTGGGGCTTCCCCGGCAGAGCTGCTGATTTTATATATTCAAATTAGTTCGCTTTGCACGAGTGGCCCTCGAATGAGAGAGCGTACTGCTGTGATATTTCCCAACCACGGCTGACTGGCCAGGCAACCAACCAACCAACCCGTCGGCACACGGTACTACCGATCCAATCCAGCTTTATATAGAAGGGACCGGGAATGCGGGGGCTATCAAGTTGCCTGTGAAGTGCTTATCCTCAAATCAGTGACACTTGAATGTGCAGCCCAAGTGACTGACCAAGTGGGTGACTGACTGACTGACTCGAGGGCGACTGGAGCTGTCACTCTGGCTATTTTCCTTTTAAATTTGACCTTTTTTCGAAGATTAATTTTAACTCTATTAGAGCACTAGCTTACATGGATTCTTGTTTTGAATTTTATCACTTAAAAGGATGGTACTTAGCTAAAAACCAATGCAATGCAAAAAAATAGAATATTTAATAGATCTTTGTAAAAATCAATTTGAAGCTTAATAAGTAGTTGATAAGCTCTTTCAAAAGGATATTTTATATATTTTATTATATTATAGTATTATATAAAAATTGATAAGCTTGAAAAACCTTGAAGGAAAACTGGCAACACTAAGGAGAAGCAACCTAACCAAAGTGCGAAGCCTTCGTTTCATTTATTTACTTTGCCCTTCGCACGCCGTCTGCCAACTGGAACTGAAACTGGCCAACAACTCAAGTGCTGTTTGTGTCTCTGATTGAGTAACTAAATAAACTGCTCCTCTTTTCCCATCTTCTAGCTTCTAGGAATTTATGAGTTAAAGAGATCATCAAAATGATGTCTCTTTTAAGGGCCTTTAACCGCATCAATTAATGACTTGAAATCAAAACAATTGACAAAAACAATAATAGACAATTCAATTTAGAAACTAGTTAATAAAATATTTACAGTAACAATTTGTGTGTTAAAAGTAAAAAATAAGTCCGTAATTTGTAACCCCGATTTTATTCGATTTAATAAAAGAGCCAAACGTAATAATAAACTGCATTTGAAAAAATCGAATCCACAAAATGGTCATTGAAGGCAGGCTAATAAATTAGCGCAAGTAATTTGCGCAATTAACTAAAAACAGTTGAAACCGCTATTAGTTTGGTTAGCGAAAATCGGTCGAAGCTGCAGCACGAATGCAATGAATTGGCAATAAATTCTCGATTCCCAGCAAGTCGGTGGGAAAAGCTTTCTATAACCCCCTTCGCTTTATATAATTGAATCGTGTGGGTGTGTCCACAGAGTCAACTAATTTATGTTTTAACACACTCGCACATGCAAATTAGCACACGCACAAAATAAATGCAAATATTGGGGCTTCAAGGGGCCGCCATAATGAGCTCAAGTTGGGCAGATGGGTGAATGGGTTTGAGGTTTTATTGGGTTCTTTGCGGTTCATCTGGCAACAACTGTTGACAAAATGAAATCAATAAATTTCAGCGCAAATCAATTAAAATACACCAGCCAGATTTCACGGGAGCGCTGGAGCTTTTGCCTTCTTCTTGTTGGGCAAACGAAAATATTTGTCAATTTGCGGTTTTCACGAAAATTAAATTTGCCACACACACAGCGATAAGAATGAATACCCGGATGAGTTTAGGGAATTTTACCTCACTTTGTGTGAAATGTATTCTAATTTATTTATACGTGTTATTAAAATAATTGTAAGCTCTGTTATTTAATTAAAATTTTGTCAAATTTGATTTAAGTCTCATCCAACAGAGCAAAAGTGGTAGATGAAAGTTGAACAGGATTTCCGAAATCAAATTAAATGCATGCATACGAAATTAAGAGGCTTACTGGATAAGACTCAATAAGAAGAGTAAATATATAACCTAATAATTAAATTCGACCAAGAAGTTGTAAGGAAATTGTATTTTAAAATTAAAGTTAAGATAGTTTACTATAGTTTGTCTAAGACAGATAATAATTTATTATTTTGCATTGCTGCTTCAGTCTCAGTAGACTTTCCTTAGCGCTTCAATCTAATTCATAAAATTCAAGAAAATTAAACACTGCTAACACGTATAATGAGTAACAATTTTTAAACACTCGATACACGAACACTTTAAAGGGTAAACACAAAAGAAGCCTAATTGTACAATTGTACATTAAAATACAGTCGCCGCCAAAGGTGTTAACTAACCCCTATCAAAACCCACTGAGAACCACATTCGATTTAAGAGTGTACTGAGATCGTTGTCAGATCGAGATTTGAGTTTAAAAAAGCTGTCCCAAAAGTTGGCCAGTCGTAGATCGAAAGTGAAGTCAAGAAACAATTCAAGTACTGGAGACAATGTCAGAGGAGCACATCAACGCATCGACCAGTGAATTTGCACGGGAGGTGGGTGGCGCCCAATCGTTACCGAGCGCCCCACCGCCCACTCTCGGTGCCACGCCCCCCTGTTCGCTGGCGCAAATGACCGCTGGGAGTCGCACACTTGACCGCCGCCTCAATCCCAACGCGCCTGTGTTTGTACCCGATTTCAAGGCCAGCCAAGTGGCCCAAAAACTCTTCGATCAGTGTAAGTAATTGTCGAAATCCACTTGGAGAAAATTGTAGTATATACTTTGTAAATATATTAGTATCGCCCTACACTCGTTGGAGCACGGCTTCGTCGGAGGACCTGTCTTACGGACCCCGCTACGATTCCATCTGGCGCGAGGCTAGCGTCCAGGATCCGCCGGTCCATCCCCATCCTCGTTTCGATTATAGTCTGGATCCTGATGAGGAAGAGGTCGTGGAACTGGAGTTCGACGAGCATCAGGCCATGAACATCGGAGCCGAGTCCTATGATCCCAAAGCAGGCTGCACAGGAATCAGCCTGGCAATGGAGATCCGCGAAGTTGTGGATGATATTCCGCCACAATTGGAGGCTGAATTAGAGGCCGCAATTGATGCGGATAAACGCAATAGGTTTCAAAACCGTCGCTCCTCCAAAGCGGCAAAGGCATGCTGTCTGGTCATGTAGACAAGGACTAGAAAATGTAATTCGTATTCGATTTACACCTAAATGTATACTCATTAAAACGTTGTTTACTCTTAATAACTTAATTTTTTTTATAGGAACAATTAAGCATGAATAAATAACAAAATACAAAAATGTTATTTATTATAGTGTTAATGTTAAATAAATCTTTTAGAAATGTGCAACTTTTGACTCACTTTAAGTCTGCACAACAAATTATATTCTCTAGCAATCCGCTAACAGCGTTGCAATTAAGACGCTTTTCAGAACTTTCTAAATGCACTCCTTTCAAGCCCACTTACGACAGACTGAGAGAAAGGAAGCTCCGTTGAGAAAGGTCGACTATACCTATGACATAATTTATAGCCTACATTTTAGCGCCCCAAACGGGTTTGTTTTACCTTCCACGAAGGCTCTTGCCTTGCTGCCTTCAGCTACTTTGTCCTGACTTTCTAATGATGTTGAATATGCATGAAAAGTTTTGCCGCACGCAGAATTTTCATCCCCGGATAGCAGCACAAAACTTGATTCACCTGTCTATGGGTTGCTTGGCTGCAGGACCCGCCTTCACTTTCAAATTCCACTGGAAATAAAAGAGACCTTAGATTCAGAAGAGTTCAACGAATAAAATACGATTCAATGAAATTAAGATCTTATAGTATATTCCGAAATATTATTCCCATTTAGATAATTTTGGTTTCAGACTTTATGGATTATTTTCAACATAGAATTAAAACTTTTTTTGCCTGCACCTTTTTGTCATTGTCTGTTAAGCAAAGTGGCGACAACTTTGCGTTTTTTCGCTCCTTGATTATTTTAGTTTCAGACATTTTTTGGATAAGAAAGGGGAACTCATAAGGAGTTGGATGTATGTATGGGTCCTGTAATGAGAAAAGTTTCGTGTCCTTGCGATGTCTCATTTAGAACTGTCCGAGTTTTGATGCCTGATGTCCCGGGCCAAGTACAACGCAGCTGCCCACGACTTTTGAATGATTAAAGTGGCAAGGAGACACGCTGTGCAGTCCCAGCTGCAGTTGCAGCAATGCTTGGCGGAAACAATTACCAACTCATATGCAAAAGTGCCAAATTGTCAATGGAGGAGCGAAACTTTCACGCTGCTCAATGTCAGCGGGACATGTGAGCAAAAGGAGCTGCCAGCCCATACACCTGGGCCGCCTCCCCTACAAAATTCTCTGGCAAGGATTCGCTGGCAATTTTGGGCCAATTTTCTGCGCCTTCTGTTTGTTTATGAAACAAGTCACGTAAACGACGAAACCCGTTCGCTCCCTTGTCCTTTTTGGGGGCGTTGAACCGCCAGCTGGCTAAGTGGGCGTGCCATCACCTTGTTTTTGCCGCTATTACTCTCCTTGTTGTTGTTTCGTCCTGGGGCGATTGTCATTGGAATCGAGAATTCAGCAATTGGCAAACGTCACGAAGGCGGCTAAAACTTTTCATGATCTTTCGCGCCCTTTCCACCTGATTGTTGATTTGGCAATCTCTTGTTTTAGTCCTTTTCAGCAGCAACTTTTTCATTTTACTGCGATTTTTGCTGGCTTATTCTGGGTTGCTATTTATTGCATAAAATTTATGCCCGTATATTGTGCAATTGAAAAAGTTTGACACATTTCTTTAATTTTCCGGCTATACAGTCAGCAGAACAGTGCGTTGCAAAAGTTTATAAGTCGGTTGATACTTAATGGGCGGTTATTAAGCAATTAATTTGTTTAATGTTTTGAGAGAACAAATAAATTTTTTTCCGTTTCTTTTGTAACACTTTGTAATTTTAATAAATATTATTACTTTTCATATCATATCCAAAGTTTCGGAAACGCGCTGTACAGGCCTGTACTAAAATATGGAATCAAGGGAAACCCAAAGCCGCTGGCATAAACCATTATTTATGCATCGATTTCAAATCACCAAAACAAAACTGAATCGACCAGAAAAAGAAAGTCGCAAATAAACACAATGGCAAAACGGAAGGCGGCAAATAAATAGACAACACAGGAATATGGGCAAACAATGCCTGCAATAAATATCCACACATGTGTGCAGTGTGCACAGTCGGGTTGTCTTTATGCACCTATAAATAAATTCATTTTGTGATATTTATGCCACGATACAGCAACGGCTAAAATGGCAATCAGTTCAATGACCAACAAAAGTTGGTCTTGTCTTTTGGTTTTTTTTTTTTGTATTACCTGCAAGGTTTTTGCCAGCCAGGGTAATTTGGGCTAAGTGGTATTACACTTTTGGTATTAACAGAAAGTGTTTTTATTTTAAGTTTAATAAACTTTTGAGTATGCGAAAAGATTTTATTGGATAAGCAAATATTGCTAAGTTACCTTAAACAATTACCTAAAATATTTTTATTTTAAGCTTGTTAAACATTTAGATAAGAGAAAATATCGATTGAATTAGTGTAGAAACGTATATTATAAGAAGTCTAAAAAAAGTACCTTCCCAAAAATGATTGCCTGAACATTCTATATATGACGTTGTCCTTCGTCCCTTCACTTTGTTTCTCTTACTTCTTTATCTGCCAGTCTCTTTTAGTTGGCAACACTTTTAGTTAAATTGAGCAACAAACACGTTTGGCAATACAAATGATTCCTCTTCCAGTTGCTTTTGCCACGCCCCCTTTTATCCACAAGAGGAGCGCCCACTCTCCACTTTCTCCTTCAGACAACTCCAGTTTGGAGCCCGTTTCGAAAAATGCAAGCCGCAATGCACTGGCAGTGGAGTTTTGCACATTCTAACAGATTTATTTCACTCCAAATAGTTTCATTTTAGTTGCATTATTGTTATTGTTTGTTCGTTGTTGTTATTACTGCTGTTATTGCTTTTGTTGTTGCCGCTTTCCAGAGTGACTGCGAAAAGTTTTTCTATTATTTTCAAATTTAACTTTGCCATTTGTTCGAATTTCATGGATACTCGTACGAACAGCTGGGGTCGTAAAAATAGAACTAGAGAGTAGAATTCTCGTATGTATCTTATGTTCAAAGTATTTAGTCTGCAATAAATGGTATATCATAAAGCTCCAGTAAAAAATAAATCAAAAGCTAACAATTTTCACAAAATTTGTATAGTATATTCATTTATACTATACTGTGTGTTTGTGTATTTTACTTGTCGTCTTCTGTGTAAAGAATTCGAAGCAACGAGCTGTTAGAACTCAGCAAGTTTTTTCTATCGGGCTTTTGGTTTTCCAATATGAAATATATTATCGATGCTCTTAACTTTTGTTAACTGCACAATTTCCACTCAACTGTTCACACTTTTATACTTTTTACTTTACCCGCATGCCCTTACATATATTTTGAAAACGGAAAAACATTTTCAAAATAACATCGACTTTAGGTTATGCAGAGTCCATTCTTTCCTAGATGCACAGATTTCAGGAATTCCTTCGGTCACGAGTTACCCCTTCCGGCTTAATTTTGATAAATCGAAATTGCATTCTGTTGCGGAACTCATTGCGCAGCATTTTTAAGCCGTTCGTTGATGGGCTGCACCTCTACCTTTCCTGGCCTAAATCGGGGTCAAAAGTTGGGCCAAGCCGAGCGAAACTTATTTATAGTGGCCCGTGCAATGGCGACGCAATTTATCGTCATTAGCGCGAGCCGCAAACGAAAATTTCACTTGAAAATTTCACGAGCTTAAATGAAATGCCTGTGGTCGTCAACGGTTCATTCGGTTCGGTATGGTCTGTCCTGTTCTTGCCTTTGTTAATTATGGTGCACAAGAAAAAAAGTAATTTCAAATTTTGGTAAGTTCAACAGATGCATGTTTAAAAATAATACTTTATCAAAATTTTAAATTTTATTTCTAAAACATTCATGTTTACTTTTAATAATAATTTAATTACATCCTCTTTATAAAGATTCAACAAAGGTCATCTTCTATTCAATTTTAAAATTAACCCATAAATTTATAATTACAAATAATTTTGAAAGGTATGTTAGCTTTGAAAAATTTTATTCGGAATGTCGTTATTTTCCAGTGTAGAAAACGGGATGAGAAGACGACAACGTCGACGACAACAGTAATGATGATTACTGGCGGTTTTAAATCATTCGCTAATTATTGCAATTGTTGCTCGCCTTTGGTGTCCTGCCCCGTTTTCCCAGCTCCTTCGGTATATATCCTCCAGGCTCGACGTCGTTGATGACGTTCTCACTTGCCCTCCAACCGAGTAATGGATGACGGGCAGGCGACTCAGACTGGTAATCAAACACCCAAAGAGTTGATTCGCTTTTTGAGAAATTCGAGTGGCGGCAAAACAAACAATTTCCCCGGGCAAAAAAAGGAAAAATCACCAGCCAGGAATCAAGGGGTGTACCTATTGCATATGTGTATGTGCGAATCCCCACAGCAATCAACCTAATTTATTATGACCCCCCTGGAACTAAGCGAAACTCGAACAGCAGCGTCGATGACTGTCATTCATCTATGTATGTTTATAATTTCAATTGCTGTTTGGCAAAATGCAAAATGCAATGTTTGTGGTGGCAACCCTGGCAGTCGCTTTGCGGTTTTTATTTCCTTGGTTACTTTGAAGCCCTTGAGTCTGAAAAAAAAAATTATATAAATTAGTTATATTTGGTTTCGTATGTGGTTAAGTAATTTAAGAGAGAAAATGGTTGCCATTGAAATTGGTATTGCATATGCATTAGAAAAGCTTAAATGACTATTAAATGGTACCTAAATATAACTTTCATTTTAAATACTACTTAATTGAAATGTTTTTGAATATTCTCTTTAAGTCTCATAATGTGTTTTACAATTAAATTTAAGCACATATGAGTACCTTTTTAGACTTATATCTCCTCTTTAATTAAAAAAAACTTTCCAGATATGATAGTTTTTAAAGCTTTTTTGGAATGCAGGTCAGATTAAGATTATATCAATATCTGTCTGTGAGTTGGCCTCCCTCTTTGTCCCCGTGTAAGGGCCACACGTGCTGTTCCTACCCTCCAGCCACGCCCACCACCTGCACCGCCCACCTTGTAGGCCGGGCTAATGCCCACACATTGACACATACGTGAGCACACCGACGGGCTGACTGGCGGACAGACAAACAACTCATTTCGCTCAGTGAACTCAACAATAAGCATAAAAACATTCATCACTGATTCAC